GGCAGAGAGTGGGGTGGAGGCTGAATGAAAAAGTAGTGGGGTGTGGTGCCTAGTGCCTGTAGTCCCAGCTGCTTGGGAGGCTGAGGTAGGAGAATTACAGGAGAAAGAAATAAAGAAAGAGAGAAAGAGAGAGAGAGAGAGAAAAGAAGGAAGGAGGGAGGGAGGGAAGGAAGGAAAGGAGGGAGGGAGGGAAGGAAGGAAGGAAGGAAGGAAGGAAGGAAGGAAGGAAGGAAGGAAGGAAGGAAGGAGAGAGAAAGAAAGAAAGAAATGAAAGAAAGGAAGGAGAAAGAGAAAGAAAGACAAAGAAAGGAAGGAAGGAAGGGAAAGAAAGGGGGGGGGGAGGGAAGGAAGGAGGGAGGGAGGGAGGGAAAAAAAGAAAGAACAATTGATTCTTGGGCCCAGACCCACAGAATGTGCAGGATGGGTGGGTGGGAAGGTAAGAAGAGAGCATGCAGGCTGGGAGAACAGAGTAAACTGAGATTCTGGCAGGGATGAGCATGTTGTGTCTGGGAGATGGTAAGGAAACACCCAGGTGGCCCAGGAGGGCTCAGGAGCACACACCTCCAGGGCCTCTGCCCTCCGGTTGTTGGATGCAGCAGCCTCTGCAGATGGGGCACAGATACAAATACTTCCACCCTTGGAACCACTCCCAAACCCAGGACCCTATATCCCCCTATTTGCCCCCATTTGCCCAAGATAGTCCCAGTTTACTCCTGTTGTTCCAGTACCCCTTCTGGTTAGTGTCCCTTTTCAAAAGCACACTGGTCAGGATGATAAATTATACGGTCACCTTACTCAAAGCCCACTTTATGTAGCCTGACATAGATTACTCTGCCTCCCTACCAACCAACCCCAAATCCCATGTTCCCCTCTTTGCTATGTAGAAGAGGACTTAGAGATGGAGTCACACATATTCACTTAATGTCCCACTCCATCATTGGTAACAGAAGCTGTGTCTAGTGTCTTTCTGATGAAAAAAAATCTCATTAAAAAAAATTTGACTTTGCTTAATAAGTGGCTTTAATGACCAAATCCAATGGGCTGCATATGTGATTTGATACAACAGACACATACAGTGTTAAACAGAGTGCAGAAGTTGCATATTCCAAATCTCTAAGTGGCTTGTATTCCACTAGAAACCAACTAAAATGAAAGGAAAATGTGGTATTTCAAAGAAATGCAAATATTACCCCTCTAGGCATTCATAAGACTGCTAGGTACAAACAAATGCTCTTAAGTAATTAAAGTCTACAGTGTTAGGGAAGCGTCTCAATAAACACACCTTCTACCACCTTTTACATGGAAATGCGAATGCTTATTTACATTTACTTTCAGATTTAAGGATGAACAGATGTCTCAGGCCCTTCTGAGAATGAAAATGGCTTATATAAATCCTTCAGATCAAAACATTTTATGCCATCACAAACTTCCTATTTAATTCTATTGCCAATTTAAAATATGGATGTGGTTTTATTTCAGGTTTATGTAAAGTGGAAAACGAAGGGCACTGGTCCTACCTGATGCATTTTAAATACTCAGGTTGCTTTCTCTGCTGGAGTGTCTTTGCAGGAACTACACTAAAGGGTTTTCTGCAGAACTGAGGTTTACCAAATGGAAAGGATTCCTTTAATGAGCTATTTGGAAGTTAAAAAAACACTTTTAGAAGATTTGGTATGATATCAGACTTACTTCATCAGATTTGAATTATGTTTAAACGGTAAGCTGAAGCTATGGCATATTGCGGCAATGTTTACTTAGAGATTTCTTTTCATTTATTTCAACTTAGAAACTAGTTTAAATACTAGAACATGTTTGCAAACCTTTTTGCCACTGGAGCTGTTTGGTAGGTTTGGTAAGGTGAGCTTTGAGCTCCTACTATGTGCAAGACCCTGTGACGGCTACTGAATGAGGATACAATGCCATTTTATTTTTTTTACTTTATTTTTTATTATTTTTTTTGAGACAGGGTCTTGCTCTGTCACCCAGGCTGGAGTGCAGTGGCGTCATCACAGCTTACTGCAGCCTCAACCTCCTGAGACTCAAAAGATTCTCCTGCCTCAGCCTCCTGAGTAGCTGGGACCACAGGTGCGCATCACCATGCCCAGTTAATTTTTACAATTTTGTAGAGATGGGCTCTCACCATCTTTCCCAGGCTGATCTCAAGCTCCCGGGCTCAAGCCGGCCTCCTACCTCAGCCTCCTGAGTAGCTGGAATCACATGTGCATATCACCATGGCCAGCTAATTTTTGTAGATAAGACACGAGGTGTTGCCCAGGCTAAAATGCCTTTTTTTTTTTTTTTTTTTTTTTTTTTGACAGAGTCTCCTCTCACTGTCACCCAGGCTGGAGTGCAGTGGCACAATCTTGGCTCACTGCAGCCTCTGCCTCCCAGGTTTAAGTGATTCTTGTGCCTTAGCCTCCTGCATAGCTGGGACTACAGGCACATGCTACTATGTCCAGTTAATTTTTTGTATTTTTAGTGGAGACAGGGTTTCACCATGTTAGCCAGGCTGGTCTTGAACTCCTGGCCTCAAGTGATCAACTCACCTTAATGTCATTTTAAATGGACTCACAGAAGTGGCCACTGAGATATTCCTTAAAAGATCGCAGGGTTTTAACAGGAAGAAAAATGGGGTAGGGGGTGGGAAGAGTGAAGAGAATTTCAGGCATGAAGAACAGTTGAAGTAATGGTTCACAGGAAGAGAGTATGAGAGGTGCAGAAACAAGGTAAGCATCTGCTGGGTTGGATGATGAGGGAGATTAGGTTACAGGAGACACTGGAATCGCTTCATGGGGTATAGCAAGTTTGCACCTTGTTTTGAAAGTCTCCGGGCAAGTGAGTGACATGATTAAACCTCTGCTTATAGATCTGAAATGGAATTGGGAAAAGTTAGAGGCAAACACAGGAGGATTTTGCAATTGTGCAAATAAAATAATGATATGGAGCCTGGGCGAGGTGGTTCATGCCTGTAATCCCAGTGCTTTGAGAGTCCAAGGCAGGAGGATCATTTGAGGCCAGGATTTCGAGACCAGCCTGGGTGACAGCATGAGACCCCTGTCTCTACCAAAAAAAAAACAAGTTTTTTTCGAGATGGGGTCTCATGCTATTGCCCAGGCTGGAATGTAGTGGTGTGATCATGGCTCACTGCACCCCCAACCTCCCAGGGTCAAGCAATCCTCCCACCTCAGCCCCCCAAGTAGCTGGAATCACAGGTGTGCACCACCATACCCAGCCAATTTTTAAATTTTGTAAAGACATGGTCTCCCTAGGTTGCCCAGGCTGAGTTTTAAACTCTTGAGCTCAGGCAATCCGTCCACCTTTGGCCTCCCAAAGTGCTGGGATAACAGGGGTAAGCCACCATGCCTGGCCAGAATTGTTGCCCAGTTAGCCAGGTGTGGTGGAGTGTACCTGTAGTCCTAGCTACTCAGGAGGCTGAGGGAGAAAGATCACTTGAGCTTAGGAGTTTGAGATTATAGTGAGCTATCACGGCACCAGTGCACTCCAGCCTGGGCAACAGAGTGAGAGCCTGTCTCTAAAATAAATAAATAAGTAATATGACTGCAAGCTAGGATAGCAGTGGTGAAGAGAGAAAAGGGATGGATTCTAAAAAATCATTCAAATCCCAAAGACTTGGTAGGTCTTTGTGTGTGAAGAGCTGCAGATGGGGCGGGGGCATTCCAAATAACTCCAAGGCTTTCAGCCTGGACAGTGGGGAGGTGGTGGAACCATCAGGATAAACCCCGGCCACAAATGCAGGTTTAGGGTGGGCTGAAATGTGCGTGGTCAGTCCTGGACATCCTGAGCCTGAGGTATGAGGGGATAACCCTGGGGAGAGGCATGAACACATATGTGTAACCCACAAAACATTCATGGCGTTAGGTAACCATTTGTCAAATGAATGTAGGAAGAAGGGAAGGAAGGAAGGGAAAGAGAAGGAAAAGGGGGCGCTTCCCAGCAGGCAGCTGGATATGCAGACCTGTGCCTCAGGAGAGAAGTCTGTGCAGAGCGCCACACAGAGGTGGTGAGTGAATGAATGACCCAGAGCAGAGGCTGAAGGACGGGATCTCAGGCACAGGCATGTCAGGGGCCGAGAGGAAGACACAAAGTCAGAACAGAAACAGAGATGCAGAACCAAGAACCAAGGGGTGGCAGGGTTCCAAAGTCCAAGGAAGGCAGGTGTCTCCAAATAAAGAGGGTCAGAAGTCAGAAGACAGAAAAAGTCACTAGAGTTGGCGCCCTGGAGTTCATTACTGAGCACTAAGTATAGGCTGTGTTTTATGCTCAGAGCTTTACTTGCCTTTCACTTGACATTCGCCCTGTGAGGCAGGAACTGCTGTTTAACTGTGCTAGGAGGCTCATATCTGTTCACTGACTTCCACAAAGTCACACTTCCAGGAAGCAGAGGACAGAAATCCTAACCCAGTGAGGCCTCACCCCCAAACCTGCAACCCTGACACACTTGGCCTTTTGCTTCAATATGGTGCTGGGGGTAGAAGATCTTAGGGGTTGGAAAAGTGAATGGGATAGAAACTCAAATTTCCATCCTGTGTTCACTGTGGACCCAGAACCAAGCTCAGTGCTATATGTGAACATAGGCAACAGATGGTGAAAGTGGGGAGTGTGGGTGACAGCTGGGGGAAGCAGAGTGGTGACTTTTTCAAGAAGGGGCAGGAGGGACCCTGTCATTCTGGGTTCTCTGCTAGATCATGGAAATTGTTTCGCAGTACAGAAATCTGCCTTAAAATGATCCTCTTTAAAGTAGAATTTTACCACGATAACAGAATGTAATGATTGCCCTGTCATTCTGGGTTCTCTGCTAGATGGTGGAAATCGTTTCACAATACAGAAACCTGCATTAAAATGATCCTCTTTAAACGAGGATTTTACCACTATGACAGAATGTTGTGATTTGCTATCCCCTTTCTTAATACAGATGAACAGAGCTACTTCCTGTTTTTAATATATGGGTACAAGTATTCAGGCATTAGAATGGTACATACTTTTTTGAGTTTCTTGCTTTTTTCTGTTGAGAGTATGATATTTCCTTGAAAAATGATATCAAGCTCTGGATAATGGGAAATAAAAGGAAATGAGAACATTTGAGCTAGCAAAGGGAATAAACATAAATATCAGGGTGAATTCTCTCAATCAGAGGACATTTTTGCAAGGGGACGAAAATTCAAGTGGCCCTTCTGATGGAAAAGAACATTTCTCCGGAGCCGCGGCAGCCTTCATGAAACAGACTTAGGCCTTCCTCTGGGAATAAGGCCTGACATATTTGCATGCCTCCGAGAGAAATACACAAGCTGGCTGCTTATCTGGGCGGCTCTTTGCAGTCTAGTCATTGTCACTTTGAACCAGCTATAAGCCCCGTTCCTCCCTGAATGCCAAGACAGAACAGGAAGATTTTCTCCTTCTGTGTCCAAAAAGGCATCCAAGGAAGGGAAGGCCAGGCCTGTGCTAAAAGCCTTTAAAAACTGCTAGGGATGGAAACAGATGTTGTTAACCTGCAGAGAAGCATTTTGATAAACCTGGAGGAATTGTGTGGAGTTGCACATTAATTTTAAATGAGTTCTCTCAGTCCAAAACATTTGGGAAGTTTGAAAGCGGTTAGATAATTAAAGCTATGTCTGCTGGGTGCAGTGGTTCACGCCTGTAATCCCAGCACGTTGGGAGGCCGAGGTGGGCGAATCACCTGAGGTCGGGAGTTCGAGACCGGTTCTGACCAACATGGAAAAATCCCATCTCCACTAAAAATACAAAATTAGCTGGGGGTGGTGGCGCATGCCTGTAATCCCAGCTACTCGGGAGGCTGAGGCAGGAGAATCGCTTGAACCCAGGAGGCGGTGGTTGTGGTGAGCCGAGATGGCGCCATTGCACTCCAGCCTGGGCAACAAGAGTGACACTCCGTCTCAAAAAAAAAAATAAATAAATAATAAAGCTATGTCCACCCACTGACAAGACAATCAATGAGTGAAAATGAGAAAAATCGAACCCACTGACTGTTCGGATAACCTGATGCTCAGCCTCGGGCCTGGGAATCCCTGTACGCCCACTCCCACTACAAGCCCATGAGGACTGGGAGCTTTCATGAAAACAGAAGGCTGAGTCCACAGGATGTCGCCTCCGGTTCATGATCTTAAAACTCCTCCTCTCCAGTGGTGCCAGGGGCTATGAGACTTTATCAATAAGCAAATTCAAATGTCTGTTTCAAACCTAACTTGGAGACCCAGGTTTGCTACTTTTAACAAGGGTAGGACTGAATCAGCACTTCTACCTCTGACCTGATGACCTGTAGTTGGCTTAGATCAGGGAGGCACAGTCTAAAGCAGTGGCAAACATGACAAACTGAAGGACCAGTTTTTCTCCTAGCCCTAGCATAAACTCATTTCTGTGGAGGGCTGCATGCTGGGACCCGGGACGGCTTGGTGTTGTAGCTTTAACCTGAAGTCCCGGGCAGTTGTGAGCAGTTCTGAAATCTTCAACCTGGCATTCCTTTTCCTCAGGTGCTGGTCTGGTCCCTTGAGCCCCTCCCCCGGGCAGGAAACAGAAGCAGGCCTGGATCTGGAATAGGACTCCGAACACATTCTACAACCAGGAGAGGTCGGGGGCAGCCACTTCCCGAGGCCACCCCCACCCATGTTAACTGCCTGCTCGAAGGCCAGTGAGGTTTATCCCTAAACCTCGCCATCCTTTTCAAGTGAGGCCAACAGTGCTAAACCAAACCGCTGGGGAAAGCTTTCAGTATCTGTGCCGCCTCCAATGTCGGGATTACAGGATTTTTCAGAGGACCCCAAGCACTTGCATGGTTTATCCAGTTTTAAATTTGAACTATATAATACTGTCCTCTTTTTTTTGTAGATCAGACATGGTAAAAAAAAAAAAA